GATTAAAATACTGTCTTCCAGAATTTTGACCATATCCCCGGTTGTAGTTTGGCCTTTGATAATTATTCTGAAAGTTTCTTGCATTTCCGTGAAAGTCTCGTTGGTAGTTATTTCTACTGAAATTATTTCTACCTCTGCTGGCAAATGTGAATATTTCCGCATTTGGTAGGCTAGGAGAATTTGAGTTCTCCACCACTTTTGTAATGGCATCCCTAATATTGTTGAAAGTTCCGGCTTTTAAGATTAACTTTGTATCACTATTAGTGACACCGTTTATGAGGGCATCTACTCCGGCTTTATTGGCCATACTTGACGCCACATCATCCGGTATTTTATTACTTAAATACACGGATTTTAATTTTGCCGTAAGGTTTTCCAGTTCATCACATAGTGTTTGAACGGACTGTTTTTGTTTGACGTTCCTCATTTTCGCGATAATGCTGTCTGGAGTGATCTTTTCTTGGCAACGGTCTCGCACGTTGCTAATAATCAGTTCAATTGTATTGGCCGTTTCGGGTAAGCCAAGCCTTGCCTTACCCGTTAGTCTTGTTCGTAAAAATTTTGCTGCCAAAGGTTTGTGATCAGCTTTGACTAGTTCGTTTAGAAGATTCGCTGAGTCGACGAATGCTTCTAGGCCATCTGCATCTCCATTGTATGGCTGGACTAATGCAGGAGCCGTTTTAATGTCAAAATCGGTCATTTTGGGGAATCGGTTTAACCAAATGATTAGTTTTACAAGTGTTTTGAATCTGATAATTGGGTTGTCTGCGAACACTGTTGGGAAGTTATATCGTCGTAATAATACGATAAGTTTTGCTAACGATTTGAATTTAATTTTTGTAGGACGTGGAATTTGAGAGGTTGAGGTTGGAAAACGCTTCAGGAGTATACTTAGTCTCGCGACGCTTTTAAATTTAATTTTCGGTGGGCAGACCTTTGGAGGCGCTAAACGATTAACGAATATAATAGTTTTTGCAATAGTTTTCAATTTATATTTTGGCGTTCTAGAACTGATAATCGCTTTAGATAAAAGTTGTTTGCACCCTTCAAATTTCGTCTTCGTTATTTCGTAAGTTTCGTAATGCGCTTTCCAGGTGCCTTTTTGTTCAAATTCTTTCTTGCTTGACTTCAAAAGACTAACATACTCGCTGAATAAATTTCCTAAGGTTTCTTCCTTCAAAGTAATCGTCTCAAGAGTTTTAGCCTTGTTGACGCTTTTCCGGAGGTTCGTAAACTCTTTTGAGATATAATCCTCGATAAAACTTAATCTGCTCATTTAGAAGAAAAATCACACGTTTTGCCCAAGCATACAACACATTTCTTTCACTTGCTTTGACCGAGAATTGAATACATCGCCTGTTAAACGATCTACCTACTCAGAATGTTTCAATAATTTACAGAAAACACTTGACTATGGAAAAACTATAAATCTACATTTTCTAGTTATTTATTGTCATCTTTGTTGATGGGTACTTATCTTGAGGCTTGAAATTTTCATCAGGGTGTCTGGTGACTGCTCGTCCTGGACTTGTGATGCGTTCACAGGGTGTCTGGTAACCGTTCGCCCCTGGTAATTGATGAGTCCTCAGGGTGTCTTGTGACTGTTCGCCCTGGAATTGTGATGCGTTCTCAGGGTGGTCATTGACCGCTGACCGTTCGCCCCTGACTGTTGACGTCTCTGTTAGAACGGACTGCTGTGCCATCAAAACGACTACTTTAATCAATTTAGTTTTTTCACTTCTTTTCTTCTTTTGTCTGCGTCTGTACCAAACAACGCTAATTATCACTGTTGACACAATTAGTAATGTTAATGTTGCTATCCCGTATATCAAATGTTTTTCGACAGTTCCACTATTTTCCACTACCTTATTTACATGATTAACGTCCGTGCTCAAAACGTTACTCCGTGTTTCTTCGATTGGAGTTGTCGGAATCGTGGTAGTTGATGTGCTTACGATTATGGGTAAACAGCCCCATACATCACACGCTGAGTAAAACATGTGTACGGTTTTCGCGATTCATTATGTTATCTCCTCATATAGTAACACACGCGATAGTTATATTGTTCTTAGTGATCACGAACTTCTTACATTGTTCAGTTGGATCTCGTGTTGAACCACGTTTTTGATCCCCTTTTTCATGTACTTGCTGTGAAGTCTCAGCAGGAGATACGCGATGATCACAACCACCATTGTCACGCACGCGCCTGCTAGGATTTTCATTTCCGTGGTGTTCATTTCCACTTGGTTCGTGATGTAGTTGTCGGATGTGAACCAACCCATTTTAGCACTTATCACTGCACAACTTTGTACGAACACTTTAGCAACACTTGGTTTCGCGGCGTGATGAACTTATTTTTCGGAGAAGGCAGGTCATTGGCCACTTAGTCGCGGTTCGCCAAATAGCATCTCTCCCGTTGATGCTTCACTACGGACTTGTCATCAAAATTAAGTCCACACTCTCCCGTGTCTAGATTAGGAAAGATTCGTTTATTTTCTCTTCAGCTTATATTTTATATTTCCTACGACTAGAGTTACCTAGATTCATGCTACCTCGCACAGACAGTTTATTGACAATATTTGGAATAACCCGACTGAGACAACATAAACATAGCTCGGGTGACGCCCTTGCAAAGGTTGCAATTCGGCATAACCATGAGACATGCTTAACGGTCTCGCTATGTGTAATAAACAATAATAATTCAGCGTCTGCAGGTAAAGGTCGCAAGCGCATCAAATTCAAAAATAACCAACGTTACTGTTTTATGACCGTGATAATGAGCGTACACATCTTGTAAGCAGATTGTGCGAAATTGCTAATTCAGGAGGCGGGGGTAATCACGCCTAATAATTGATTTGGAAAAATCCTATGACTGATGCGTAGCAGGAATGCTACACATATTTGGTGAATTTTATCTTAAATTTGACAGATGGAAATTTTTTAAATATACTTCCCATTCCAGCAGACTTATTTCTGACAATCCAGGAATCAATTTTGACAAACTATTTCTTGAAAATTGGACGATCAACAACAGAGGGATTTTCGAACATTATAATTTATTTTCGAAGAGTCAAATTTAAGGGAAATTTTGCCTAATGGAACACAGCCTTAGACTGTTATCCAATTGGAGAATTTCAACTTAATTTTTACAGTTCGAAAATGTATTGGTTAATTTTCGAGAAGGTGTCTATCGAAATGGATTACTTGCCTGTCAGAAATAAGTCTGCTGCAAGACCAGGGTTATTTGAAAATTTCCTATCTTTAAAATGTAAGTGAAAATTCACCAAATGGAACACAGCCGTAGATTGAATCCAACATGTGTTCGATTTTGACATTCTGGTTCTATAGTATTTTAGGTTTTGGTTTAAAGTTCTATGCTGAATGAATGGTAAAATTAATAAGTAGCTTATAAGTTCCTTTTGATGATTTCAAGAGTATAAATAGAAGATGAATTGAATTGATAACGACTACTACCTATTAACAATCTCAATCAGGGTTGCCAGGTCATTTTCAGAAAAATCTGGACCAGGTATGGTTAATTAAACAATAAGAAAAAAGATCTCACATCCCTTCTAACGGGAAATCAGAACATCTCAACATCAGAAGTCCGAGTGGAATTAACGAAGATAGTAAAATAATACTTTATTTATCGAAAATACGATTTGGGTTTGGTGCTCGTAGCTGCTCAAAAAGAAGAAACTATTCCCAAGTAACATTGCAGGTGTTATCGAGGTTTTATAGCATTCTACAAGTATAAATCATTGTCTACAGAACCCTCATAAAACCAATATTGTTACTTGGGTTATGTATCGGAATGAATTAATATAATCCAGATATATTCCATCCTGCTTATTTTAAATATCTGAAAAATCTGTAATAGTGACATTTTGAAAAATGATTAAGTCTCAACTTTAACAGATGCATGTTATTATTTCTGATCGCTTGGTGATCGCTTGGTATTGAAATTGGTCCAGGGGCAGCTGAGTTATTAACGTTCAAAATCTTTCATCATTTTGTTACATGGTTCATTTTCGGTTTTCACAAAATGTACCCCCATATATAAATCGCAGACGTAGTCCTGCGTCAAAACTATGAAGATCGAAGAGGGGTGAGGCGTTTTGAAATAATCAACACTTTACGTTTTTTTTTTTAAATTTTCAATGGTTGTACGAAAAAGAAACTAATTTGGTCCGGTCTTAGTGTAAGAGAATGAATTTTCTTTATTGCTCGCTTCAATATCCGACAGAGATATAGGAGTGGATGCATACGATTTGCTTGTTTATTTGCAACTAACTGATCTGACTCTTGTGTACTGGTTATATGAGGTGTACAGAGAATAGCTACGAGTAAAACTCTACAAACATCCGAACGTTCGTTCGCCCGATCATTCGGAACGATGATAAGAAGAGATAACAGCGATTTATAGAGAGATATGTCCCTACTCTAGTACTGCACGGTTATAGAGTGCATGGGGTTTAAAAGGTAAATTCAATTTTAGCCTATTTCAATTTTGAACATAGCCGGCCACCGTTGAAAAGTTCAATTTTCAAACAATTTCTAATTTCCTAACACTACTAGGCGATCGATTGAGCAAAACTGTATAATTCTAACAACTATTAACACATATGATATGTCTCCATCGCATTGAGGACTCGGTGGACATCGGTAACTCCTCGATCAGCTGATTGCCGACCGGCCTTCGTTCGATGGAATCCTGAGCTGGCTTCGTACCCTGGCGCTGGCTTCGGAACTAAGCTGGTGAAGCCTGACGGAAATCCTTGGGGATGATTGCAGTGTTCGAAGGGAGTGTTCGTACCTTTGTTGGAAGTGCATCGAGGCCAGTCATTGGTTTGGGAAGCCAGGGGTCATCGGAGGACCAGGGTGCCAGTGGAGCCAGTCTCGGTGGTGTTATTGCGGTCGAGAATGAAAAGAAGCATTAGTTTTGTGCTAACTGTTAGAATATTGGACAACACATAAGCGCCGCAGCGCTGGGCATGCTGTTACATCTCGGATAGAAGATCGTTGGTCCCAGCGGATGCTGGTTGCTGCACAGGAAGCACGCAAACCTTCGTGATTGCGCGCCGGTATTCGCCATCTTGGGTTCGGACGGAGACTACCCGGACGTTTCCATCATCACCGCGGAATATCTGGGTCACGCGGCCACAGCGCCACTTGAGCGGCGGAAGATTGTCGCCCTTTAGCAGCACCATCGTCCCGATGCTGATGTTATCCCGCAAGCGAGTCCACCTCGTGCGGGGGTGGAGTCCGGAAAGGTAGTCCATGCTCCAACGCTTCCAAATGCGTCGGACAAATTCTTGAGTTTGCTGGTAACGGTCGAGACGATTTGTCGGCACTTTTTCATAGGATGGTTCTGGGATGGAAACCAGTGGACGATGAACCAGAAAATGACCTGGAGTTAGAATTTCCAAATCCTCTGGGTCGGACGTCAGCTGAGTCAACGGACGGGAGTTTAGGCAGCTCTCTATCTGCGTCAGGAGCGTTTCGATGTCGTCCTTGAGCAGCACTGTTGTCCCGATTGTAGCTTTAAAATGTTTCTTGAAGGACTTTACAGCAGCCTCCCAAAGTCCGCCAAAATTGGGAGAGCGCGGGGGAATGAACTTGAAGTGGATTCCTTCTTCACCACAGTAAGTGGTTACAGCGTGCTTGTGCTGCTGCGAGCTGAATTGTTCGTGTAGTTCCGCTAGCGTTCGTGATGCACCTACAAAGTTCTTAGCGTTGTCGCATTCGATGACTGCTGGCCTGCCACGCCGGGCAACGAATCGTTTCAGGGTAGTTATGAACGCATTTGTCGAGAGATCCGCTACAAGCTCGATGTGCACCGCCTTTGTCGCAAGGCACACAAATATTGCGACGTAGCACTTGACAGGAGACGATTTCCTCGGAGCGTGCCGATAGAAGAGTGGCCCACACAGATCGACACCAGTGTTAAAGAACGGAAACGTTGGTGTGACGCGTTCAGCTGGTAGATCGCCCATTATCTGTTCGAGAGCAGTGGGTTTGCAGCGAAAGCACTTTAGACAAGCATGAACTACCTTCCGCGCCAGGTTGCGTACTCGCAGTGGCCAGTATTTCTCTCGCACGCTTGCGATGAGTAGCTGTGGACCAGCATGTAGCAACTTTTCGTGATAGGAGGTTATGATAAGCTCCGTAAGTGGATGGTGCGTGGCAAGAATGATCGGATGCTTCCGGTCTTCGGAAACAGACGCGTTTCGAAGCCGGCCACCGATACGCAGAATGCCGTCGACGATGATCGGAGAGAGTGATTTCAACTTTGAGTTCGGCTTGACTTGTCCATCGGAACGAATGGCTCGTAGATCGTTCGGAAATGACTCGGCTTGAGCGAAGCGAACGAGAGTGTAGGTTGCTTGGTTGAGTTCCGTGGTTCGGAGAAATCCCTTCATTTGATCCTGTCGGTTAGCAGGCTTGCAATTATGGCTAAATCTTCGCAAGTAAGCCACCAGACGAACTAGCGATGGAAAGGATGATCGTAGACTGAGTATTGGGTTTGGAGGTTGGATCTGAACGGGCAGAGCGATCGACCGTTCCTCGAGATCCTCGGACAGAAAATCATCGTCAGCCGTGTGTGACGAATGTGTGACGGCCAAAGCCTGGACGTTTGCCTGAGCCAGGTTGGACCATGCCACCAGATATCCGAATCCTTCAGTTGAGTTGGTAGCATTCCACGGGAGATGATGTCCGCCGGGTTTTCTAGGCCAGCCACGTGTCCCCAATTGCCACGCATAGTGATGTGCTGTATTTCGGAGACCCTGTTTGCTACAAACGTCTTCCATCGTGATGGTGTTCCAGCTAACCAATGTAGCACGATGGTGGAGTCAACCCAATAGAAGCACTTTAGATCAATTTTCAAACTGTGCTGGACTTTCTGGAAGAGGTGGCTGAGGAGCAATGCACCAGAAAGTTCCAAACGTGGAAGACTGATCTTCTTTTGATTTTTGCTGTTTCCCAGTGGAGCGACCTTTGATTTGGAGGTGAGGAGCTGTACGGATATTTCGCCACTGGGTGACACCACTCGGAGATAGATGCAGGCACCGTATGCTCTTAGAGAAGCATCGCTGAATCCGTGTGCCTCTATGACGACTGGTTGTGGAATTGGTATCACCCAACGTGGAACAGCGATTGTTTCGACCGCTGTTAATTCGCTCCTAAACCGCACCCAGCGTTGTTGGAGCTCTTCTTCCAATGGTTCGTCCCAAGTCTTCTTATTCATCCAGAGTTCCTGCATGAAGCACTTGGCAAGTACGATGACGGGCCCTACGAGTCCCAGAGGGTCGTACAGGCGAGCGGAATCTGAAAGGGCGATACGTTTTGTGATGACATCATCTTTGTTCCATTTTGGTACGTGGAACCCGAGTTCGTCGGAGGAGGGGGTCCACTTGAGTCCCAGAGTTTTGACGGAAGAAGTCGAATCAAGGTCGAGTACCGAGCGTTCGTCTCGAAGATGCGCTGGGATGTGTTCGAGTATTTCCGGTGAGTTTGAAGCCCATTTACGAAGGCTGAACCCAGCTGTTTGGAGAAGCTGTAGCAGTTGGCTGCATAGCACCTTTCCTTCTTCCACATCGTCGACCCCGCTAATCATGTCGTCCATGTAGAAGTCGTTCGCAAGAACCCTTGAAGCAGCCGGATGAGACGACTGACCCTGGTTTGCGAGCTCCTGGAGACACTTTGTGGCGAGATAGGGTACGGCAGAGGTCCCGTAGGTGACTGTTTTGAGCTGGAAGATTCGGATAGGTCCATCAGGTTTGTCTAGCCACAGAATCTGCTGGAGAAGGCAGTCGAGAAAATATACCCAGATCTGACGGTACATTTTTTCTACGTCGGAAATTATGGCGTATCTCGGCACACGAAATCGCATGGTGATGCATATAAGGTCCTCTTGCACTACCGGTCCCACCATCAAAGCGTCGTTCAGTGAGATTCCAGTATCGGTGGCACAAGACGCGTCGAACACTACACGAAGTTTAGTGGTGAGACTGTCCGGACGTACGATGCAATGATGCGGAAGGTAGAAGAAAGCGGACGTGGACAAAGAGTCTTCAGATACTTCCTGCATGTGCCCCAACTGGAGATATTCTTGTATGAACTCCGAGTAAGCTGTTTTGAGTAAAGGGTTCGCTTCGAGGCGGCGACTCAGCGAAAGGAGCCGGCGTTTAGCAACCGGGTAGGAGTTTCCAAGCTGTTGTAGGACCTCAGGCTTTTTTGGCAAAGTAACCACGAAACGACCATTATTGTCTCTAGTCGTAGTAGCAGCAAAATGAGCTTCGCATGACGATTCTTCGACGGACATCGTACTGGAAGACTGACACGACTCTATCTCCCAAAATCTGGTTAACTGATCCTCTACCGCTTGAGTACTGCACACATGAGCAACCACATTTGAAGTTGGCGGTTGGTTCAATCCAACTCTACCTGAGACGACCCAGCCGAGCATGGTTTTCTGCAGCACCGGTTTTCCTGGACCCAGTTTCAAGAAACCTTCTAGGAGAAGATCGTAGTAAATCTCCATTCCGATGATCATGTCTACAGATGCTGGCTCGTGGAACTTTGGATCTGCAAAGACGATATCAGATGGCCATTCCCAGTTGGTAGTATCCACCGCGTTGGACGGTAGGTCTCGCGTTATTTCGCTGAGGACATGGAACTTCAAGTCTGCACTGAAATTGGTGCAATGGGAACGGATGCTGAGGAGGACAGAGTGAGTAGACACAGTCGTAGATCTCCCGATGCCACCGATGGTATGATGATCCTTAATCTTTCGAGTATGCAACCGTTGTACGAGATGTTCGGAGATTACATTGAGCTGCGAGGCCGGATCAAGCAGAGCTCTGGCCCACAGTAGGTATCCGTTGGAATCGATGATCTTCACTAAAGCTGTCTGAAGCAGGACCGTTGATGGAATCGAGCGGACGTTGGCAACCAAGGAGGTGGAGCAGTGGCTGAGCGACGGAGTGACAACTGGAACTGATGGAACTACCGGAGTGGCTGACGTAAGAGTATTGGTCGGAACACCTTGAGCGCTTCGAGGGTTCTGAGCTTGGGATTGCGTTTGTTCGGAATTGGGTGGACTTTGAATTGGCTTTGAAGCTTGTAGTTGGTTTGGATTGCGATTACTATTTTGTTGGTGAAGCATTGTGTGGTGTTTTTGGCCACAAACACGACACGCACTGGATGGACAGCCTTTAACCTGGTGATCAGGAGAAAGGCAATTGATGCAGAGAGCCTTCCGTTTCACTAGCTCGTACCTTTCTGAGACAGAGGAGTTACGAAATGCATCGCACTTGAAGACGGAGTGCAATATCTGCTTGCAAAATGGACAAGGTTTCGATGAGGAACTTACGACCGAATGAATGTTACTAATTTTCAGTTTTTGCGTTCGACCGGACGGAAAAAGAAACTAATTTGGTCGCTAGCCAGCAAGATAATTGGCTTATTTGGAATTTGTTCTAGAGTTTCGATTTGGTTTCGATAATTTGTGGGGTTTTCGGTGGTTGATGATCGACATGGCACCCGCTTCTAAGTCGCTTCTTAAGCAAGAACGTTTCTGCTTCGACACTATGGAAAACGTGCTGCATTTTATGCAGGAGTATAATGAAGAGCGGGACAAATATCAAATCGAAGGATGGAAAAGTCGATTGAATGAGGTTTTCTCCCATTTTCAAACCGTTAGATTGAAGTTGGAGTTGATCGACCAGGATGAAGAAGCAGAGGAAAAGGAAGAGGCGTATCGTAAAGTTCGTGATACGTTTGAGAAAAACTACGTCAAGGTGATTGGGTTTCTAGCAGCAGCTGATCGCAAAGCAAATCCCCCAATTCCTGCAGCCGTTCGGCCTACCCAAATACTAACCCGATCCTATCGAGAATAAAACTCCCTGAAGTCACCCTGAACCACCTCCAATGGATTTTCCGTGTTTTCTTTACATAAGAATAGCTAGTTTTTAAAGACCTGAGACAGCGGTAAAAATAAGTGATTTTGGTGATTCTAGACGTTACATTTTATGACATTCTATAAAATTTTAAATCGTCAAAAGGACGGAATGATAAAGCCTTTCCACCAACTACGTACCACCAGCTGCACATATAGCAGTTTTAGGTTCCAGTCGGATCCTGGCCACTTCCCCAAGGGGCCTTACATTATAATTGTATCATTCTACCATGCATGCAGAAATTACTCAATGTAAATGCCAGCTCACCGCTTGTTTGTTGCACATCATCATCGCATCTCATCCGTGTGGGAATCCCACCTGAGTAGTTCTCCTGCTTTTTTTTGTACCCAGCAAAGGATGCATTTTTATGTTTACCCTTTCCATCAACGGGCCACCGGTTGATCCGAAAGGCAACGAGGATGAAACTCTTCAACCCAAAACAACTGTCGGATGGAATTTGCGTTATCTGTGCCACAGCACGGAGGGAAGAACAAGTTACAAAACATTGGCGACTGGGATTGGTTCAATTTCGGCAAACAAGCTCTTCGTTTAGGCCCCGAGCTCGCAGGACCAACATGTCGGCGCAAGGAGGAAAGGAGCAAGGCAACACAGCACACAGCACGTTCGGTCGGTATATAACTCTGATAACGCTGCACGTGCCTCTTCCGTAGTCCTCGTCGTCGTCGTCGTCGTTGGAATAAGTCCAATACTCACCTGCTGAACATTCTTTTCTACTTTCGCGCCACTTGGCTGGTAGCTAGTAATTCAGGGTGAAGTATTAGAGCGACCGAAAGCGTGGAAAACACTCTGCTCGTGCTTTTCTTGATGTTTTGTGTCCCACCCTCAGTGTGCTCTCTTTCCCGGGACTAAACGTCCCGGAAGCATGTCTCATTATCATATTTTAAATTCAACATAACAATGGCGCTTTCTTTCTCTTCTAGTCGCTTTGCTGGATGACTGGCGGCGAGAATAATATGCATGTGGATGAGCAAGCGAACGAAAGCAACTGGAAAAACAACACTTTGGTTCGTTGGATGCATTGCTGGAGTGCTTTTCGTCCTTTTTTTCCGAATCCACTCCGGAGCACTTGCTGAATTCTAAAAGTGGATTACACTTTGAGCTCACGCGCTGTTGACTGCATTATGGTGACGAGTGCCAATTCCCGGTGTTGCATTTGATTTCATCACTTCCTATTTCAGAACATGTAAAACGTAATCTACGGGACTTCAATTCCCCACCTAACTCAAGATTAGCCCATCCACAATCGACAGCAAACAAACGTAAATACCATTTCCATTTACTCGCCCACACCCGACTGGGGTAATCTGCAACCAAAACACAGTCCACCCTCCCTTCACCATCACCTTCACCTGTCACCTTCGTCTTCATCTTGGCCGCGCCGTGGCCTCCGGGCGACTCAAAATCTCAAAACAGCTCCGAAAGTAATTTTCATCTCCATTTCAAATGAACCTCAAAGCGCCAGGCCGGGTCAGGTGTGGGGGAAAGTTCACAGTGGCAGCCAGGTGGTCTGTGACCTGTCGGTACCTTAAACCTGTCCTGTGCGGTTGGTTGTTTGTTTGTTTATCTCGTGCCCTTTCCCAGCGGGGGTCGAAATTGACCAACAAGCGGAAAATTAATCAAAATCTTATGTTTTCGTTATGAATCAGGCAAGCAGCTGGCTCGGGCTGAGCTCCTCCGGGAGGAATACGTGATTCCAATGACTGTATTTATTACGGTCTTGTGTCTTGGGCCCACAAGCTGGAAAAGTCCTGCTGTTTGTTGTTGTTGCTGCTGGAAGAAAGTTTATCCTTTTTGAGATCGGAGTATGGGACACACTCACGCACACACACAGACAAACAGGAAGTGATGAATATGTATGAAGAGTTATATTGCCGTTGCCGGCAGACGAGCGAACATGCAGGAGCTTCATCAACAGGAGAAAGACACTGGGAAATCGATATGATATTTATGAGAGATGAGATTAGGGATTGCAGTTCGTTAAGGAGTATAGTCAATAGATGATAGTATATTGTTTTGGATTGTTGGTATCTTGTGGGTGCTCAGATTGGGTGAGATACACCGCATATGGCTGGGCAAAAAATCATAGTCGTAGAGCATTTACTAGTCCACTAGTTTAACAGATCAAGAGGGGTTTATCATTAACGCTTGTTTATTTAGAGCATCTTAAAAAATTACGTTGTTTCAAATATTGTATTATCTAGTTGATATGGTACGTTGCAACACATTTACGCTTTATCGCTACTGCACGATGAGCAGCACTGTATTTAAGAGATGAACTAGCCTTAGGCTAAAAATCTCTAAAGTAATTATTTAAAAAAAAACACCGTATTCTTCAGGTGGTGACGGTGATATTTACCACACAACATAAACCCGAGGGGTGGAAAATCGCTCAAATCTGAAAAGTCTCCTTATCCTTACTTCTTGAAATTGTTCTTAATTTCTAAAAGATTGGTCAACACTTTCCAAGCACCATCATTTTATTGTTAGTTATCTAATAACCAAATTGACTAAAGTTTTTAAGAAGCATGCTGAACTTTAACAAACCTGACCTGAGTTTCTATTAATTAAGTATCTATTCAGAACTTCTACCAAAATCACTGAGCTTCCACAGTGTTTTCAGAAGTCCCTATAATTTGTGTCGGTAGTGGTCATTAAGACCTACTAAGAATAGCACTACGGACCAACTGCTCCGATGGTAGAAGTCCAGTGACTTCTAATTCACGGTGTCATGCGGGCTTTAGCCTACCGTGCCATGAATAGTTTGGTTAGGGGAATCTAACAAAAATCTAATCGCCAACGGAGCATGTGGATTCGCTTTATGCATATTACTCAGAATGCCTTTGTGGTTCGCCCTTGGCGTTTTGCAAATCATTCCCAATTTGGTTTCTATGTTGCTGTTGCGTAATGCAGCAGGTGAAGGATTTGTGAAATCATGAGTAGTAGATTAAGGCAAAATTGTGCATCCCAAGCTCTAGTACAAGAACCTTATTTTCGTAAAGCAAACTTTTATCTAGGAAACCTCGTGAACCCAACCTTTACTGCTTTTAGTAAAATTGGAAACACAACTCACGTATGTGTGCATCTGTGCTTTACAATAATGCAATAGTAGGTAACGACGCTGGGAAATTCCCAATAGAAATGCGGATGCTGCTATGAATGACGAAAATACCCGAATGTCACAAAATATTTTACAATAAATAAATAAATAAATAAATAAATTGATCAATTAAATATTTAAGTAATCATTTAACAAATCATTAAAATCTATATATCTATATATATATATAAATGAATTTCTGTCTGTCTGTCTGTCTGTCTGTCTGACCCTTATAGACTCGGAAACTACTGAACCGATTGGCGTGAAAATTTGTATACAGGGGTTTTTGGGGCCGTGGAAGGTTCTTATGATAGTTCGAGACCCCTTCCCCTTCTGTAAGGGGGGTATCCCATACAAATGAAACAGAAATTTCTGCATAACTCGAGAACTAATCAAGCAAATGGAACCAAATTAGGCATGTGGGGGCGAGTGTAGGGGTATAAGGAGATAATCATAGGGGTAGCCCCTTAGATAATAGGGGGGGAGCTACGTACAATATAGCATGCTTTCGGCGCATTAACTCAAGCTAATATTGAATCCCGAGCAATACCGGGCACACTCAGCTAGTAACTAATAAATCAATAAATAATTAATAACTATCAGAGGCGACCCAGCCTTTAGGTTGAAAACCTCTTGAATAGGTAAAAAATAAATAAATAAAATAAACAAGTAAGTAAGTAGGCAAGCTAGTTACTAAGCAAGTATGTAAGTAAGTAAGTAAGTAAGTAAGTAAGTAAGTAAGTAAGTAAGTAAGTAAGTAAGTAAGTAAGTAAGTAAGTAAGTAAGTAAGTAAGTAAGTAAGTTAGTAAGTAAGTAAGTTTTTTTTCCTTTATTAGAGAGATTTTTAGCCATAGGCTAGTTCATCTCTTAAAAAGTAAGTAAGTAAGTAAGTAAGTAAGTAAGTAAGTTAGTAAGTAAGTAAGTAGGTAAGCAAGTAAGTAAGTAAGTAAGTAAGTAAGTAAGTAAGTAAGTAAGTAAGTAAGTAAGTAAGTAAGTAAGTAAGTAAGTAAGTAAGTAAGTAAGTAAGTAAGTAAGTAAGTAAGTACACTCCTGATCATAAGTTTAAGGACACCCCCAAAAAAACATGGA